GCTGTATGCGAAACCAATGTGAGTTTGGAAAATTGCACAGTATTTTTCTATTTTAGTATTCCTCAACAATGGAATTATGATGAGTGGAAATGGCCATGACACCTCTCCTTTAAACAAACAAGGGGCATAGGTAAGAAGGGGTGACGCACCTTTAATAATAACCGTGCCCGCAGCGCTGCACAGGGTGATAACTCTGCTTGTTTTAAGGCTAGAAGATGATAGGAATGGCATGCGTGGGGTCTGGCAGGACCAGGCAGTAGTGCTGATAGTGTTTCTGTGCACGTCCTCCTCTGTTAGTCATTACTGTGTGCAGACGAGGGGTGATGTTTACTCTGCTGAGACAAGCAAGTCTACTGCTCTGGGTTGCAACCTTGTGACTTCCTTCTCCCTCCTGCTGCCAGCTCTCCTAACGTCTGGCCCCGGCCCGCCACTCCACCGGCCGATCGCTGCCGATAAACGCTCTGCGTCCCGTCTACCAGGACCGGGGTTTTTGTGGGATAAATCTGACAGAACAAATGGATTATGCATTTCTGAGCGTGGTGTCTTCCTCGTGGGTGGTCCGTTGATATTTCAGGAAATAATAGCATAACGTACACAAGGGGTGTAATGCTGCTACACAATGCTGAGCTATAGCCCCTCCCCTCTGTCTTTAGTTTCCTTGTGTTGTCATTTTCCAAACATTACCTCCACCCACACACATAGGAGAAAAAGAGAGACTTACTGCAGAACGAAATGTATTACATAGGTAGATGTATTCCTTGGTAATAGAAAGAAAAAGAAAGAATGTGGTTGGATGATTTATCATTTAAAGTGGATTAAAAGAAATGAGAGAGTATTTAAAATGATGTTAGCAAACAAAATTGACAAGTTGTTTGTGTTTTACTAATAGCTTCAGGACAGTGAAAGTAACAGAGCACAGAGAGAACAAAATGGGACACAAATGAAGAGAATGCAACAGTGATAATGTAACAAACACAAACAACAATAAGTCAAAGTTTGATAAATGAAAGAGAAGACAGAAACATGTTGAACAGAACAGTGGTGAAAGATAATGGCAATGATTATGAGAGATAATGGCAAAAGGGTCAAATCAATCATAATGCACCAAATAAAAAATGAAATGATTACCAAGCTTATGCAGGAGGTCAGGGGTCAGAGTTCAATATAAACACGGAAACCATTATGGCGTCTGCACGGATGTCTCTGGAAGAAATAAACAAGGAGTTGATGTAAGTACACTTCACTGTAAGTGCTGTTTAAGTCTTACATCTACTTGACAATATGTAGCACTCAAACATTAATATGACACAATGCTGTATTAAGCACTGATTCACAGCAGCGCACAAAGCTCAGTTTCCTTAAGTGGTGGTGGGCTATTTCAGGGTTTAGTGAATCACAGACAAACATATTCCAGCCCTTTAAAACAATACAAGGCATCTTTTTATCATCCCATAACAGCGTCGCAAGCATAAATTAAGCGTTTGCTCATTTCAAAACCTCTCAGCAAAATTAGGTAGACTAAGCAAGACACCAGTGCCTGAACATCACTCACGCTTTATGTTTTGCACTTTAATGCCCGCCCCTACGCCTACGCTTACACACAAAGCACACTGGAGGCTTACACACACTGTATACAATAGTAGGACAAAGAGTGTGTTTGATTTTTAGTCCAACCAAAAGAAATAATCCTATAGTAGCCTTAAACACAGGCTCCAGCACAGCAACGACATCAAAGGCATTACTCTTTGCCAAATATGTTTCAGTCGAAGCTGAGCAGTCAAAGCAGAACATATTCATCTATTTGAGTTTCACATTATAATTTATTGTTTGTGGGAAGTGGATAAGAAATACACCAAATAAAATATATTCTTTAAAAAATTCAAATGTGCTGCTCTGGGGTGTTTTAGCACATTGTGTTTGTTCAAAATCTTCAGTCTTTAAAAAGATTTATACAGTTTTCTTCTACAAAAATACTCATGAGATCCACGGGGTGAATGACACGGTATCTCTACATGTTTTTCACTTTCTTGGCACTTACAGTAGAAATAATGATATTGTCCACGCAGAGATAAATGCCAGTATGCATGTAGTACAGAACAGCTTATTTTACAGTGGAGCCCATTAAAACATCTCATCTTTGGTATTATAAGCTGATGACTCATTTTACCTTTTAATTGAAGCGCCAGAAAATGTTCTTCTCAACTGTTAGAAGTTAAAAAGCCCACTGAGGAGCAGCTAAGATGTCACATTTATCAGCACATATAATAAATGGTTTAACAAAGAAGAAACATGTTGCCCAGCCCAGCCTAGACATGAAATCCAAACACCATTAGATGTAAGACAACAATGCACATTAGGCCCTAAGGCAACATATCAGCTCGGAAACAAGGAGGGGAGCACCTTTCAAAACAACATTGGGGTTTATTAGTGTTTGGCACTTCAACAACATCATGCACAAACTCCCAAATAAATGCCTTTTCAGATTCTTCAGTAGTGCTATAAAATGGGGAAGCCCAAGGGTTGGGGAGACACTTCAGGAGGCTTATGCATCTGTGTGTGATTAGTTCCACCACCTAAGACAAAGCATGCAGAGCAAATGTAACCTCATCATAATCTATGTGTCGCAAAGGCATGGACACACTCAACCAGAAAACAACAACAACTGCCGTATGGTATAGCCTACCGTTGTGACAGCGCCTAGCGTAAACCGTAGTCCTGCCAGTGCTCTCTCCACCCATCATTAATCGTCTGATCGTTGTGGAACAGAAACAGCACGGGTTTGAGACGTGACATCTCATAGGTATTAGCCGCTAATTGCCGTCATCTAAACAAACAGCACTTTCTGGAGAAAACAATCTATATTCATTATTTATTTGTTCCCCCCCTCTGCAGAATGCCAATTTATTGGGAGCAAAAGATAAATGCTCATAGTATAATTACCACTAATTGTGCAAATAATTGCAAAGTTCTAGTGCTACGTATAGCCACCATAAAGCAAAAGCAATCTATGTAGCTCTTGGCTGTGAAATTGAAACAGTCCTATTTCTCTTCTGCCTGTCTTCTGCTCATTCATTATCTAGCATGTGGATCTGCTCTCTGGTAAAAGCCAGATTCTGCAAAAGTGAGGGCATGGAGACGGAAGGAGGCTGATGACAGGGATTCATGGATACTCTGAATGCAGACATGCTGTTCCACCGCCTCGCCTCTCCCAACAAAACATTTGAAAAGCCTCAAAGCCCAAAGCTCCAGAATACATCTTTTGATTATATACAAGTCTTTTTTTAAAAGAAGGCGGGGGGAAAGGAACAAAACAAAACATCACCTGTAAATCGAAATAGCCTTTTGCAGACGGTTTTTGCACCTAATCCCTTTTCATTTCAGGTCAGTAAAAATATTAGTGCTTTCTCACTGCTCTGATGGTCAAAGCACATTTCAAAGATTCTGTGTGCCTCTCCAGCAGAGGGAAGAAGAGCGGGGGGTAGAGGTGGGGTGGGGGATAGAAGGGGCAGTGGGGAGCTCAGGCAATCCCCCATCTATTACAGACGAACCAATCAACAAACGAACGAAAAAAATAAATATGAACACCATCCAGGCCAACAGTATGCACAAGACCCATTTCAATACAGAAACAATGTATGTGATGATTTGATAGTCCATGACATCCTAGATGAAAGTACACGTAGTGATATCTTAGAGGTTTTAAGAGGAGAGAACAGCAGTCGATCATTGTCAATAAAAAAAAAGTGTTTTGAATATGTCAAGGCCCGATCAGACGTTTCCTTAGTGATGCATTTTGCCCACTTTGTTGTACTTCATTTTGTGATTATGAAGCAACATTCACTGCCAAAATGTGTCATATTTATGTATCATTACTTATGAGTTAAGATTGTCATGGCTGCCTTAGTTTATTGTCCTAACATGGCATTCCTCCAAAGAAATAGGGAACAATTATTGCTGATTGCGATGACACTATCTCATCTTCAGTGCCATCCCTTGACTTAAGTATAGTGCCATGTTCTTTGTAAGGCCAGACAGGCATAACTGTTCCCCCTTTTGTCTGTTTGTGTCAGTGAGCTCAGTGTAATCGCTGTGCATAGCTGTGGCTCAATTTCTGCTGTTGACTTTTAGTTTTATAGGAGTCTTAATAGAGCCGCATTAGTTTGTCGCTTGTCTTTCTTTTCTAAAAGCAGTCATACACAAGTTAAAGTGGTTTATTTCCCATGGACATTTGGCTAAATAAAACTGTGCATTTTCACTGAGGTCTCTTGTGCCTCACTTGCTTGTGTTCCAGTTAAATTAATCTTATAATTAGATTGTTGTGGTGGGATTGATTGTTGTACAGAAGGTATTGCTTCAACCGTGCTTGAACATACCTATTAATATACAATAGCCTGCCCTATTGTGAACCCTACAGGTTTAATTATGTGACATTACTTCCATAGTGTGCACAGCTCATTTTGTTTACTTTGTGTAATATTTTCTTAAATTAGTTTGTCGTACAAACAGTACTTTGTGCTAACTATGTTTCCATAATCTATGTGCACATGCTCACCCACTTGAGAATAAACTAATTGTAAGAACATCTAAACTTAGTCGCTCAGCAAAAAAGCCTTTCCCAGTTCCTTTTGTTCTGTAAAATGCTGATTACAGATCAACAAACTGTTCTCTGCTTTGCAAAGTATCAAGCAGAAGTTATTATAGCTCATAATTATAATCTAATTTCCCATTGAGATCGTGAACACATCGATGACTCATATTGCATTTGAATATGCTTGCTTGGTGATCTTTATTCGGAGCAGCACGGACATCATCAATGTGCCGTTGATTTGCAGAATATAGCTATCAATACGCAGCGTTATTTATGTCCTTAGCACATCGGTTGCAACATCAGCAGCAGTGCAATCAAAAAAATGAACACATGGACCGAACGGTTGCTTCTGTTCATAGACAAATCACTTTTTGAGGCAGACAGCTGAACTCTGCAGAGCGTTCTCACACAGAGTCCTCAGCTCGATGTACTCAGTCACCACGCACAGCCAAGAAGTGTCCCGAAACATAACCCCCTTAAAACCACAAATGGATTTTCTACTTTGTTTCCTGACAGACTTAAACTGTTTCCAGTCTTTATGGCAAGGCTAAGCTAACGGTCTCCAGGCTGTAGCTCCATATGTAGCGTATAGATATGAGTGGTATTGATTATCTCAAGAATCTTTCCCAAAACGTCAAGCCCTTTAAAACTATTGTTGTTTTTTAGATACATCCAACAGGAATATAATGTTGATATTCAGAATGTACAATATAAGATACAAATATATTGATTTCTGAAGCTGCCTGCTCTGATCAGTATGGATATGACTGTCTTCCATCTTTGTTTCCATTTGTTGTTGATTTGAGGAAGACGAGTGCCAAAGCGCCGTTTGTTTAAACAATAGAAACACAGACAGACAATTACACAGTCCTGAGGGAGTCACAGACTAAAGATATCTGTAGTGATTTCAAGGCTGACTACCATATCATCATTACTTCATATTTTTCCATATAACAGAAATATCCATTTTGAACTCATTATACCTCCAAGGTTGATTTGTTTCGTAAGAAATATGAAAATGCCTCCTATTCAAATAGCATAGAATAGTTCCACTTGAAACCACAAAAGGTACTTCTTTGTTTTCTGCTTACTGTTTCCAGTCTTTATTCTAAGCTAAGCTAACTGTCTCCATGCTGTAGCTTCATATTTAGCGCATAGATATGAGAGTGGTATTGATTTCTAATCCAAATCAGTGCAAGAAAGCTAATAAGCATATTTCTCAAAATGTTAAACTGTTCCTTTAAATCTTGAATATGCACTTGAATCTAAATATCAATATAATCAATACAATATTTATCTTGTGAATGAACAAGGTTTAATAAAAAGATATTGATCTCAGAAAGCTACCTCCACTGATCAGTATGGATAACACCGTCTTCGTTCTTTGTTTCCATTTGTTGTTGATTCGAGGGAAACAAGTGCCAAAACGCAGTTCGTTTAAACAATAGAAACACAGACAGACAATTACCCAGTCCTGAGGGAGTCACAGACTAAAGAGCTGGTCAATATTTCCGTGCAACATATGCATCAAAATGGCTGGGCCAGCTCCAGCATCGTGCTGCTCTCTCCTCCTCTCAGAGCCTCTTCTCCCAATCTCGGTCCAAGGGGAGCACAA